GGGGGGGGGGGAAGGGAGGGGAAGGGAGAGAGAAAGGGAGATGGGAGAAAGAATGGGTTACCAAACCGCACAACTGTTTGTCACACTCGATACACACCTCTGGCGAATGAGTTATGTTGAAATTTTTAGGCCATTCCCACGGAATCTTTTCAGGGTGCCATTGTGTCCCGTAGAGAGGCATTGATTTCCCCTCAACTGTTGATATGAAAAGAGATCCCTGTGCAGAAGAATCACGAGGTCGATACACGACAAAGTTTGAGGACAACAAAAAATAATTAGTCCCTTCATTTATAAAAAAGGTAACCCCTCCGCTTACCAAAAAGCGCATCCCACCAAGTGGCCTAGCTCAGTGGTTACATCCCTGACCTGTTGAAATGCAGACCTGAGTTCAAACTTTACGGGAAGTGATTTCTCACAGGCAATCTCTTCTTTTTTTTGATAATTTGCATGATAACATTGTGATCTATAGAATCAAAACAGCGAGTTATGCCGCCTAAGACGACCCATGCTTGGTGTTTTTTCATTCCTACATGGAGGCTCGCAAGAGTGAGAGCTGCGGTAGAACCTCTACCACGCTGAAAAGCACGACTGCAATCAATAAGGACTAAGGAGTAAAATACTACTAGGGCTGATGATGATATCTCAAGGCTGTCTCCCTTTCTTTTTTGAGAGAAAAGGAGGGATAGAGAAAGGAAGGAAAAATGAAAAAAAGGAAAAGAAACAACTGCATCCCTTTTTTTATGCATAAAAAAAGAAGTTAATCCTTTATTTACTGAAAGTTACTCCCTTTGAAAACAAAAAAAAGAGCTAAAAATTTTAAAAAGAGTGGAGTCCCATTGAATCGCCACCGGAAATTGGAAAATTCCACTCCGGCTGGGATACACATTGTGACTACTACCCCTTTTTTGTTTGCGGTGGCTCATTTTGGTGTTTTTGCTACCGTTTTCACCCGAATAGAACACCCGGTCATGATAGCCATATTTGGTGCAATTTTCAGTCCAGATTACAGCGATAATGACCACGCGTTCTATTCGGATGAAGACAGTAGGTTTAGGGTTTAGGGTTTTGATGACTTTCATGTTTGTGGTGAAGTCCCGTTTAGGGTTTACCCAAAGCACCCTTGGAAACAATCCCTACCCACCACAGCCACTATCATGAAGCCTTCCATATTAAAGAAAACTCGACGAGGCTCGTTTTGGTGTTTTTGCTAGGTTTGGGGTTTAGGGTTTTGATGACTCCGGTTCTTGCTGAGTGAGCTTCACGGTAGTGGCTGGGGTGGGTGGGGCTTGTTTCGCAGGGGGCTTAGATAGTTACGATGTACTAAGGCGGCCATGTACAAAGGCGGATAGTCACAACCAATGGGTGGCGGGACCGGCAGCAATACATGTTATGAGCTTCATCACAAGGGTTTTTTGCTTGTGGTGGCTCGTTTGGGCACGTCGGTGCGCCTCATGGATTTTTCTATGTGAGAAATTGTGTGGGGATAAGTGTCAGATTTGCTGTGAAGATTCGTTTATTAGGTTCTTTTCATTTACTTTTCCAGATTTTCCCCTGTGGGGAGTTGTGCAGAGAATTCTGCGATGAATCTCGGAGGTCACTAAGTTAGGGTATAGTCATGGATGGCTTAGTGCTTTATGATGCCTGTTTTTCCTGGGTAGGGTTTCGATTCGCGTCTCATACGTGAATCGTACTCATATTGCGAGTTTCACGGTAGTGGCTGTGGGTAGGGCTTGTTTCGAAGGATCTTTGGCTGTCCAGCTTCATCTATTGCGGCAGTTGTTTTTGGTAGGCGGGCTCTCTTCTTTGGGGCTTTTGATTTGGCAGTTAGGGTTATGTTTGTAGCTTTTCTGTAGATTTCATTCTAATAATTCTCCGCTGCATACTTTTGACTTTCGCCCTCAATCTGACTTCAAAGTGAATACAACAGACACACGGCCAAAGGATCCTACGAAAGCTCCCTCAATCTGGTTTTTATCCTGCTGAAACAAAAACAAAACAAAAAAAGAAACAAGAATGTAAGAATGTTCATTCTTCATTCATAGCCTTCCAAGCGCCAATCCAAATTGCGAAAATTAAACGCACTCGTCCACTCCAGGAATCAAACTCGCAACTGGTGCACTTACTACAAGGCAAAGCGATGTGGGACGAAGCCTTATGATGCGAACTTCAGCCCACGCCAACATGGTTAGTACCATCAACCAGGTGTACACAAACTCTCTCCAGCCAAATGGCCCCTCGAGCTAAGCTTCAAAGCACGCTGTATTGAAAGCTCAAGGATGAGCCGCCTGGCAGCGAGTTCTTGGACCCAGGAAAATCAACAGTCAGGCCTACCCGGGCCCAGAAGAAGTCCCGGGTCCGAGATTTCTCCAGACAACAACCAAGGCCCAGGTGACATTTCTGGATGGGTCCAGGCCTAACGGATCAACGCTGGCCTCAGACAGAATCGCAAAGGCTCACGTCACTTGACATTTTACCCATCCCTTGGAAGCCCAGCCAGGATGGTCAGGAAATGTATTCTTGCTGCTAGTCTGCTTGTGACACACGCTGCGTTCCTTGCACTGGCTCTCTGTCCCATTCTGACGTACTCCAGTTAGCACGGAGAGAAAGCATGATCGGGAAGCCCTAGAGACAGGTTGGGAGAAATCAGCCATGGCTTGTACCGGGGGGGAGGGGAGGAGAGTGGAACAGTGTGTGTGTGTGTGTGTGTGTGTGTGTGTGTGTGTGTGTGTGTGTGTGTGTGTGAGAGAGAGAGAGAGAGAGAGAGAGAGAACTGCAAAGAGTCCGTTTGAGCATCTCATTGCAAACACAATGGAAGTTTTCCTCAGAGCGAATGCAACAAGGAGAGAGTAGACTAGCCAAAGTTTGGGCATCGTCAGAAACGGAGAAAAGGGGCGGGGGGGGGTATGGGGGGGGGGGGGGGGGGGGGGGGGGGGGGGGGGGGGGGGGGGGGGGGGGGGGGGGGGGGGGGAGAGGGAGACAAGAACAACCAAAGTTCGGGCAATGTCAGAAATAGAGAAGGGGGGAAGCGGGGAGCGAAGAGGTGAAACAAGAACCGAAGTTCTCTGGTGTGCGCAACTAACCCGGCAAGCTAGCCTCTTCAGGAGCATTCATGATGACGATGAGGCTGGCAGGCCACAATAGGAAGATGAGGATTATTTCACTTTTGCATGAAAAAGGATAAGCAATAAGACAAAACCCTCAATGTACGACAATAACAGACACCCTTTTTTATTTTATTTTTAAGGTTGCGTTTTTTTCCCTTCTGCGCATGGCCAGAGGAGCCCCAATCCGGGCTCCTTTCTTTTTCAAGTGTTGGCTGTCAAGGCCAGGAACGGCGGGTGTGGGTGGGGTTTCTGCACATGCCCAGAGGAGCCCAAATTCGGGCTCCTTAGTGTTGGCAGTCAAGGAAGGGGGTGTAAATTGGTTCTTAGGGGGCTAAAGGGGTTTGAAGGGGGGTGCCTTGATCTGATTCTGTTGTTTTCTTTTTTATCTTTGATTCGGTCAGGAATTCTGTTGTGGCTCTCAGCCAAAGTTCGTTTGCAAAGCAATCCTAGCATTATACACAATTCCCCTGGATTTTGTTGTTTTTTTTTCTTTCTCAGCCAAACGTCCACCACCCAGGTGGCGAATCCTGGCACATGTTCCGTGCCCACGCTCCCGGGAAAACATCCTAGCAGGGAAAGAAAATTTCGTGTATACAGACAGAAAGTCAGTCAAGAATAAGCTTTTACCTTCCGATCACTGTCAATGGAAAGCACCATGAGCTCCTCATTTGCTCTAGTCTTGTAGAAGGCCTCAGGCGACAGACCCAGTTCATGATTATGAAAAGCCAAATTCCTTCCTATTACTCCACCTGCCTGCATAGATGACAACAGAAGAGAAGCATTCACACAGTGATGTGCATATCAGAGGCAGTCGACAATTAACATCGGCTATCAACTTATTATCGTAAGGGAAAGGGTGGAAACAGCACCGCTTACAGTTCCTATATGGGGGTAGAGGGGGGGGGGGGGGGGGGGGGGGAGGGATTCCCTTAACTCGGATTTAGCTACGAATTTTGAGATGGTTCTTAGCCAAAAGATTTTTGTATTGCAATGCAGCACATCAGTAATGGTGGAAGGTCGACGTTCCCACCTTCCTCCAGATTTTTTTCATGAGGGGGTTCGGTTGTTCGCCGATGAAAGTGGTAAACTCAGGGCCATGCGGACTTAACATCCCCACCTTCCTCCAGATTTTTTTCATGTGTTTTAAAGTCGGATCTTTTTGGGGGGATGGGGTGGGGGGCTGGACCCGGACAGTCTGGACGGGAGACCAGACCCGGACAGTCTGGACGGGAGACCAGACCCGGACATCCAGACCCAGACCATCTGCACTGCAGTCCAAACGTCCGGATCATAAACCTGCATGGCATCCAATGTTGAGTAGCACGGGGCTCTCATAGCTGAGCGAGCAGCTGTGGCACATGCATCCAAATTGCTTTTAATGTCACACAACTGCCTGCTCCTCTTGCAGATATAGGCAGGTAGAAGCTGGCCGCAGCTCCAATGTTGTTCTAGAAAAAGCAAGCAAAATACTAGGTATATGCTTACAAACTTAAATTGCAAGGAAGAGAGAAAAACAATTAATAATATGTGGAAACAAGTGCTCCAGGCATTGTAGTAGAACTGAAATATGTATCATAATTTATTATTATTATTGTTATTTATTATTATTATTATTATTATTTTATTATTATTATTATTATTATTGTTATTATTATTATTATTTTATTTTATTTTTTTGGACCATTTCTCGATTTATGCGTGTCATCCTTGCGCAGGGGCCTGGACCCACTAGCAAGGTATTCTACCACACCGTTCAGGATTTCGATCACATGTGGCATCAAGTGACTCAGTACGGCCGTTGAATAGATCGGATCTCGACGGCCTGGTAGTTGCCTAGAGGGGACTGTAAAGATGCCCACCTCCCATCCAATGAGAAGCTTCGAAAAAAAAAAAAAAAAAAAGTTGGACTAAGTTGGACATGATAGCTCCTGGCTTTGCGCGGGCGGGAAGTCTGGATTTTATGGGCTCTAAAGTGGGGGGGATGATTTCCAGACTTCGTTTTTTTTTTTTTTTTGGGCTCTGAGAAATAGAACTTGAAATGTGAAACTAAGATATCGTGGTGGATCTGACAGGAACTCTTCCGTGTCTGCCGGATGGCCTGTTAGAGGCATCATGAGATACATGGGGATGAATGTATCCCTATAGCCATTACTTGTTCATCCTCGTGGCTGTGTTCGTGGACACATTTTATTGCCACGGCACATCAGTATGAAGACTTACGTGAAGGAGATCGTACCAACCCATGAATTCGGGTGCACAGCTGTTCTTCATAGTTTTATTGCCACGGTACATCACTATTTCAATTCATTTTAAATCAGAAAACGATCCATTCATGCAAATAAAAAATCACTTTGTATTTTCCAAAAAACCATAAAACTGTGTCACACGTCGTAGAATACTTCGCTAGTGGGTCCAGGCCCCAGGGGCCATGCTAATCTTCTCTGTATTGTTGCAATTTTAACGGATGTCCTGAAGGATATAATTTATTAATTTTTCATTTTCATTGATTTTTCATTTTTTTCTCTCAATCAATGCATGCCATCCTTGTGCAGCGGCCATGCTAATCTTCTCGCTCTGTATCGTTTCAATTTTAACGGGATGTCTCCAAGGACCACATTGGCGAACCCACTATTTGGTTACAGTGCACTGTGCATAAGTGGAAAACACAAAGTGCTGCGCCCTAGCACAACCTGTGCATAACGAGCAAGAAATTGAAGAGGCGCAGGATCTGATGCACTGGCTGCCACAATAATAGATTTTTTTTTTTTTTTTTTTTTTTATTATTATTATTTTTTTAATAAAACAGGTCCTTATGGTCCTAGCTGCTTTCCATTCTGGGAAGCGTCAGTCTGGTTCCTATTCCCCCGGCAAGTCAAAATTGGATACAACCAAGTACCCGCACACGCTTCCTTCCGTATGGCCGAAGGACCCCTGACCAGCATTGATTGCAGCAAGTCAAAATTGAATAGAACATAGTACCTGAACACACTTCCTTTCCTATCGATGGAAGTAGCTTCTCCCCATCTCTCTGCATGCATGGCTGGAAAACTCTCTCTCTCTCTCTCTCTCTCTCTCTCTCTCTCTCTCACACACACACACACACACACACACACACACGCACGCGCGCGCACGCTCGCGTGTAGTAGTATATATTTCAATGTTCTAGCGGAAGATTCATTCGATAGTGTGAAGCCAGTTGCAGGGTTCGAGACCTACCTGTTGGCCGGTGCGTCGTTCATCCTACCGATGGAAAACTCTCTCTCTCTCTCTCTCTGGGGCCCTAGCAAGATTTGCTAGGATGACCGGGGGTCCATGGGGGTTTATCTCCCCAATGAGTACCCCGGGCTGGAAAGGTATATAGTCCCGAGAGGGGTGTATTAGTAGGAAGAGATAGGAATGCGGATAGCGTGTATTTTGGGGAAAGGACTGGTTTTGTGAATTTTGGTTGTTTTTCATTTTTTCTGCGGTTGTTTCTCGGAGAAATAGTCGCCTGAAGTAAGTTCGTGATTTTTTAAAAAACAACTGTTTTTTCATTTTTTCTGCGGTTGTTTTTGGAGAAAGAATCGCTTGAAGTAACTTTGTAATTTTAAAATTTTGTTTTCGGAGAAATAGTCGCTTGAAGCAGTTTTCTAAATTTTGTTTTCCGAGAAATAGTCGCTTGGAGCAATTTCGGAATTTTCTAAATTTTGTTTTCAGACCATTAGGATACTGTCCGGATTTGGGGCGAAGCTTTCCGAAAATATTATTTTATGTTTGGGAGATTACCTCGGGCGATCCTGACTTACGCAGAACAGAATAAGGAGCGGTATAGCACAAAAGACGATCTATTTGAAGTGTTGCGATCCTGACTTACGCAGAACAGAAGGAGCGGTATAGCACAAAAGACGATCTATTTGAAGTGTTGCTACATAAGCGGAGGGGAAGGAGGGAAGGTCCTTATGGGAATCAAGGGGACGGAGACAACAGGGTCACAACCAAGATTAGAGGTTTGGATAGGAAGACGAGGGTAAAGAGAGAGATAATGAATGAGTCAGGAAGATGCGTAGCGACCGGAAGTAGCCAGCTGAAGCGATTGGACTACGTAGGCCCAAGCAGATCGATCATCGGGCATTGAGATCGTGTTGCGATCAAGGATCCGGTACGCGCCAAGGAGAGGAAAAGTGGGTAAGGAGGGTAGGTGGGAGACGGTGGAGCCGTGAGGAAAGCACATCGAGTATCGGGAAGGTGAGAAGAGTAGCGTAGTGGCCGCCTGACTAATCGGGATATTAGAGAAGTGAATTGGCCATCGATCTGGGAGTTGAGAAGAAAATGGTTGAGGATCGGGTATCGATGCGCAACGAGAAGCAGCGAACGGGAAGCAGTCGGATGAGCGATCGGACTACGTAGGCCCAGGCAGATCGATCATCGGGCAATGAGATCGCGTTGCAAGGATCTGGTCCGCGCCGAGGAGAGGAGAAGTGGGTAGGTGGGAGGCGGTGGAGCCGTGAGAGAAGCACATCGAGTATCGAGTAGATAAGAGCAGCGAAGCGGCGGCCTGACTAATCGGGATATTGGAGAAGTGACTCGACCATCGATCGGGATATTGGAGAAGTGAATCGACCATCGATCCGGGAGCTCTGAAGAAAAGGGTTGAGGATCGAGTAACGATGATGCGCCCGAGGAAAAGGAGGGAGTGGTGGAGAGTAGGAGGGAGGGGGTGGAGGGGGATACAGAGAGTTTGGACAGAGGAGCAGTAGGTAACAGAGGTAGGGAATCGAAAACCAGTAGCGTACGGGAGATTGGGGGAGGTAGAGCTTGTGCGGCAGCCCGAGGTAGGAATGGGGTAGGGGACAAGGTAGCTAGGATGCACATGAAAAAAATATTTAAGAAGGCAAAGACGACGTACCTGGTATCCCGGTTCTGAAAGATGATACAAGCCTCCTGACGAGTCCGCTGAGTACGCTAGCGGCGAAACTCGTAAAGGCGAACGCGTAGAGGCGAACGCGTACAATGGTTATTATGAGCTTTTAATAGAGTTTTGAATCGGGGATACTGGGTGTCGTGGATGGTGTGACGTGGTGCTTCATTCTGCGTGGTTCTTACTTCTGCTTTCATTGCTTGTTCTCTCTCTAATCTCCGTGAACGTGGTAACCGGTTGTGTTGGACATAACGCGGTGGCTACGTGGTTTTGGAGGCCGTCTTCCCAGGATCTTTCGGAGCAAGAAGACTTCAAAAGCAGGTGGTTCGGCGAGGAGGATCAAGGAAGGTGAGCGTGAATGTCTCATCTCGTTCCTTGCCTATGAGAGTGTGGCAGCCATGGTAAGGCTGAGTAATGCTATGCTGAAGAAAGCAACTCTTCGAAGCCTGATTGTTGTCCTAATTGGTGTAGGTGGGATTTCTGCTATTCACGGATGTGTAGCGAGTGGGGAACGATTGTGGTTCGTTGAAGTGCGCATCGTAGTTACGTGTAGTAGGGGGTAAGGGGATGACAGATCGAAACTTTAGAGAAGCGGAATTTGATAGGTTGTGGCAGGACATAGAAAATTTATTATACGATAGGGTGGTACCTATAATCTTTGTGGCTTTAGAATTCAATAGCGAAAGTACGAGAGAAGAATTAATTAGTATACTTGAGAGGTTTCTGGGCAGGTGTTACAGTGTTGGTTGTGTAGTGAAGGATAGAAGAAGGAGAAGGAGGCAAGTGAGGAGGGGAACGCGAGGGTAGAGACAATGCAGAACCAGAGAATTCCTATGATGACGGGTTTTGGGAACGC